GTGCTGGGAATCAAACCTGGGTCCTCTACAAGAGCAACCGTTCTCTTAACCTCTGAGCCATCTCTCCAGCCCAGGTTTCCCTTTTATTTTGTGTGGATTTGCATATGTATGTGGGTGCACACATGGCACAGCTCAAGTGTGAAGTTCAGAGGATTACTTACAGAAGTCAGTAATTTCTATCCTGTGGTTCTGGGAGATCAAACTCAGGCTGTCAGACCTGGTGGAGGCACTTTTACCCACTGAGTCACCTTGCTGGCCCTTTGTGACAGGAAACTATGTTGGAATGATTAACATTCTGTAATTTTTCTTTCTGTTTCTTTGGTTTTTTCTCTGTATGGGTCACTGGAACATGTAACTCTGTCTTATGAAATAAAGTCTCACCAATTCTAGAACATAACATAAAACCAATATAAAGATCTTTATCTGCGTGTGGTGCTATACAACTGTCCTTCCAGTATTGGAGATATTAACCCACACAAACCCCCCAAATATTTTTTATAGTTTTTTTTTGTGTGATCGAGTCTCACATAGCCCAAGCTGGCCTATAATTCAGTGTAGCTGAGGATGATCTTGAATTCCTGATCGACCTACCTCCATCTCTAGAGTTTTGGGATCATAGGTATATGTCACCACAACCCACTTAAAAAAAAATCTTTAAATTCTTGTAGTTTTGCCATTTGACACAAATCTCACCAGGGAAACGCAAATTAAAAACACAATGAAATCTGACTCCACACCTAGTGCAAGGCTAAGCTAAAATGGACAGATAATAACAAGTGTTGGCAAAGATGTGAAGAAATTAGGAGGCTGGTATGCAGTTGTCCAAGTACTCAGGAAGGTTAGGTGGAAGCATCATCATGCCCAAGATTTCAGGACCAGTCTGTGCAGTACAGCAAGATGCCATCTTTAAAAAAAAAAAATCTGGGTGTTGTTGTGCACACCTCTCATCCCAGCACTGAAAAGGCCAGGGGAGGGGCATCATGAATCCCAGGCCACCTTAGGCTACATATCAAGACCTTGTCTCAAAATAAAACAAACAATCCTTGTGTGTGAATGTTCACAGCGGTAGTGTGGCCTTCAATAGAAATTACCCACATTTATCAGCTGGGTGAATGGATAAATGACATGGTATAGGTACACAGTAGAAAATTATACAATTTGGGGACTGAGAGATGGCTCAGCAGTTAAGAGCACTTGCTGCTCTTCCAAAGGACTTGAGTTCAATTTGAGGCCCCCACATCCAGGGGTTCACAACCACCTGTAACTCCAACTCCAGGGCATCTAACACCCACTTTTGGCCTCTGTGTACACTGCACTCATGTGTGCAAACAGAAACATACACACATAAAAATTATTATACAACCACAAACAAAAATAATAATGCTGATACACGATACAACGCAGCTGAACCTATGAAACTTTACAGAGTGGAAAATGCCAGTCCCAGAGAACGACAGATTCTAGGATCCTATTTCCAGGAAATTTCCAGAATAGAAAGTTGATTAATGATTGCTGAGGGCTGAGCGTGGGATGGGAAAACTGATGCTATTAATGGACACAGGATTTCTTTGTGGAGCGACAGAAATGTTCTGAAATTCGTGAATGTTGCAAAACTTCATGAATATGCTTTTTTAAAACTGAATTTTAAGAGGCTGGAGAGAGGGCTCAGCAGTTAAGAGCACTGGCTGTTCTTGCAGAAGACGGCAGATTCAAATCCCAGCACCCACACAGCGGCCAACATCCATCCGTAGCTCCAGTTCCAGAGGATCTGAGGCTCTGTTGTGACCTCCGTGGGCTTTGCATGACATGGGTGAACTTACATACACATACACATAAAACAAAAATAATTTAAAAAACCTGTTATTGCAAACATAATGGCATATTGGGTGACTAAGGAATTAGAAACCGGTCCATTCTTAGCTTCAGATGACTACACAGGACGACTGATGGAAGACTCAAGCGCCTCCCCACCATGCCGCTGAAGCCTCACACCTGACCTAAGGCAGTGAGCCCTTGGAAACTGTCTTTTGCTCCCTCTGAACCAACACCTAGCTTTGTCTTTACTGGTTCCATCCTGTCCCTCTGGCCTGTCCTCTCTTGTCACTTCTCTTTCCTAGTGGATATCAATTCCAGGAACAGGGCTGGAGAGATGGCTCAGCGGTTAGAGCACTGGCTGCTCTTGCAGAAGACCCTGGTTCAATTCCAGGAACAGCAAATCATGAGTGCAGAGAAGCATCTCATGCTTAGAACAAAACTCTCCCAACCTCACAAGTGGTCGTGCATTACTAATCCCTGCGCTCAGGGGACTGAGACGGGAGGATCAGGAGGCTCAGGGGGCTGAGGAGGGAGGGTCAGGAGTTGGAGATCTAGCTGGGATCCATAGCAAGATTTGCTGCAAAACATATCACGCCCCATCACCCACCCACTCATTAAAGCCTTCCCTCGACCCCAGCAGGAGCTGGCAGGACCGGACCTCAGATAAGGATCAAGCAGCTCACAGCCGGGCCAGGGTCGACGCCCTGCAGGCCTCCTTGCCCTTCCGGTTATCACGGAGCAGCTGTGAGTAGCTGGAGGGCAGTTTGTTCAGCTGGTAGACCTGCTGCCTTCCAATAGCGCAGCCGATGAGCTCTACATGTGCGCATGCGCAGCCCGAAATGGAAGGGACAGAACTAGTTGTGGGACGTATGGGACGCTCATACACATGCAAGTACACACAAAGACATACATACTTGCATATACACAAACATTTGCATGCATATATTCACATACATAAAAACATGCAAACACACGGGGCACATATAAAAACACACAGGGGCACATATAAATACATACACGCGTGCATGCATATACATACACGTGCACATGTACATGCAAAAAGATATGCATACGTATACATGTGCAGTACACACACTCATGTAGACATATGCACATACACATGCGCATGTGTACATGCATGAACACATATTCACATACATTCACTCATGCACACATATACATACACGAATGCACATACATACATATACAACACACAAACATGCACACATACAAACATGCAGGGGCACATATACATACATACACACGTACATGCATATACATACGCATACACATGTACATGCACATGCAAACATACACATGCATACATATACGAGTATGCACACGGAAACTCGTATATGTACACACATGTGCACACACATATATACACAAATATGTAGATATTTGCGTATAGACCTGCACGTGTATATGCATGAACACATGTATACACACTAATGCACATATATACATGTGTGCTCATACACACATATGCACATGCACATATATATGCATTCACTCATGCACACATATACATGCACCTATGCATACACACACAAACACATATACACTAATGCACATAAACACACGTACATAAACACACACTGTTCTGTACAGACTGATCCGAGGTAGCTCTGCCTTTGTTTTCAAATGAGTCCGTTTATTAAGTACACAGAAGGCGGGAGGGAAAGACCGGGTCGGCAGGCAGCAGAGACAGGGGAGCACTGGATCAGACACTTGGACATCCAGCAGAAACCACCCTGGAGCCCTTGGGACCTGAAGTCAGATAACGAGGGTCCCAGGCGGACCGTCTTCTGGTGAGACTCCAACCAACGAGTCTTTTGCTTTGGGGAAGTGCTGTCCTCCTTTCCCTGGGCCAGGGAGCTAAGACAAGCATGTTGGGTCTGCTGTGGGGGCCAATCCCACCTCCAGAGCCAGCTTCTCAGCGAGTTCAAACTGCACTTGGCAGTTCAGCAATCCAACGCATATTACACACATACACACAAAAGACACACTTGTACAGATAGAAGCACACAAATACACACTTATCTTTAAGAAAAGCTTGGGCTGGGAGCTGCAGCTCAGGAGGTACTGTGAGGTACAAGTGAGGTACTGTGAGCTAGCCCCAGCTTTGTGAAAATTAATTCGTTAATTAAAAGCAAGCATTTATGCTTAATAAAGATCTGATTATCCTTGAGGGGGGAAAAACCTGGACGTTTCCATCTGGAACCTGCTTAAGTATTGCAATTTATTGTGAAAAGCTGGTGGTAGTACCTCTATGAGGGGGGATGTCTAGGTCTATTTATATTAAGACCAGAGTCCTACTTTCTCGTCCACACTGGCCTCCAACTCAAAGCAATCCTCCTGTGTCAGCCTCCTGCGTGCTGGTATTACCGTCTCAAGCCCCGCCCACCTAGATGATCTTTTTACATTTTTCTTCCAACCATGAGGTTTGGTTTTAATTTTCGAGGTACTGAGGGTGTAGCTCTGGAGTTGGGCCCTTGCCCAGCATATGCAATACTCCGAGTTGACCGCCAGGACTGCAAGGATGAAGAAAACATTTCTGGATCCATGTGTGTAATTTAATTTATTCTTATTAAAAAATCCACTTTATGTATGTTTCTGTATGTGAGCACACGCGTGCCATGGTGCACGTGTGGACGTCAGAGGACCCCTTTCCCAGTCGTACCATGTGTGGAACTGAACTCAGGTCAACATAGAATTTTAATATTAAATTTAAAAAACCCCAACAACAAGCCGGGCGTGGTGGCGCACGCCTTTAATCCCAGCACTTGGGAGGCAGAGGTAGGTGGATCTTTGTGAGTTCCAGGCCAGTCTGGTCTACATAGTGAGTTCCAGGACAGTTGGGGCTGCAGGGAGACCCAGTCTCAAAAAAGACAGAAAAAATCCCTAGCAACATGGAGGGTTGAAAGTGCTGGGCGTACCTTGCGCATATGCAAAAAACAGAGAACTTTGAACCCCCAAAGGAGCAAACATGCCACAGGCTAGTCGTTCTAACAAACACAGAACTTTCCGGAACTTCTGTTGAGAGCCCTTTCGGGGACCTACCGGAATAAATTAACTTTCGGTCGGTAGGCCACTTCCGGCAGGGCCGGTCATTCCGCAGGGACCGTTCATTCCGCCGCACCTAAGCGGACCAGAACTCCGTCACCACTCTCCGCCCGCCCTCTCCGGAAGTGACGCGCGGCGGGGTTGCCGGAAGAAGCGGCGAAGTTACTTTTTTGCGCTCAGCCACCTCTCCGAGCTACTCCCCAGTTCCGAAGTTACTTCCGAGGGCCGCGGAGCCGTTGCCGCGAGGCGCGGGACGGTGACACGTGCGCCGGGCGGGGACACGTGCGCCGGGCGTCAGGGCGGGCGCATCCGGGCGGGGGTCGCCGGTCCCGCTCAGCCCGTGGCTTCTTCGCTCCCGCCCTCGCAGCTTCCGCTCCCACGGCCGTTTCCAGGGCAACGGAGTCAGAGACCCCGCGCGCCAGGCCCCACAGGATCGCCACGCAGTCATGAGCCCCGCCTCCCACTCGAGCTCGGGGAGGGGCGGGGCCTGGAGCGAGGTGGGCGGGGCTACGGGGCGGGGCGAAGAGGGGTGATGGGAGGGGCTTCGATCGTGAAGGGGCGGGGCTGTGCGGGAGGGGCTGGCTTGGAGGCAGGGGCGCAGATGAGGCGGGGGCAGGGGGG